AAAGGGTGCAAGGTCAATGACGCCATCATGCAAACGTCCTATTCAAATTTCTGAAAAGTCCTTGAATATTGGGGGAAAAAGTCTTTGAAAATATGGAAGCAGTCCCTGAATTTCATTTCCTTATAATAATTATCGCAAGTTTTTTATAATGATTTTTACTTTTCGTGTTTGCGGCTCATTTTTATCCATAAATTTAAACATGGCGTCTGTTTGCCTCGACTTGATGTTGCCAAAGATGAACAAACCACATTTCAGTAGATGTCAGTATGTATGTGTACAAACAGAAAGTGACAATTTCGACTTCTAGGGTCAAGCGGATTGCAAGTCACAAGGACRGGAATCCACTGCTACCACATTGACATGAAGACACAAGTTATTTTCTATTTGTTATATTTATAAAGTTATTGTTTTGTTGTAATTCTGAAAATATATCTTGTATTATCATATGGACTATATTATATGTATTTAGGTTGTTGAATAAAATTAGATTCCGAATGTCTTTTGGAAAACTTTTTTTTTTCCAACAGTGACGTCATTACTAAGTCCCATAGTGGTGTTTTAACGGCGCCCCAGAGCACGGAGTAACACTTGGAAGACTCGATTGTCTTGGATGCTATATAGTAATATTATTGACTATTGTCTTAGTTATAGTGATTTGGCTATCTATCTCAGTAAGTTTTTACTCTGGGATGTACGCTATATAGTTAATAGAATCGCGGAATGTTTTGTTGAATATTTTAACATTAATCATTGAAAACCAGCTTACACCAGCTTATTCTTTCTTAAGAATCCAAGTAGTTACGTACTCATTTGGTGCAAATTGTTCTCTAATCTTAAAAAAAGATCTTCCTAAAAAATCATTAAACAATTCGTCTGTTTAGTTTTCCGTATTATTTGTGCGTAMAATTTTTTACCTAAAGTGTCACCGTTCTCGTCATTTTCTTCGGGATTTCCAGTTTCTTGGTCTTCGTTTGTGAACATTGCGTAAATGGCCTGGATTACTTGAAACAAACACACAAACCACAACATCTCGGCTGAATAAGTCCTCATACTTTACCAAGGGCGATTCTTCCTCATTTGAATGATCACTCTGTACGCACTTTCTACAACACTTCTAAAGGTCCAACCCCTCCGTGACATTGATACGTTGCTTTCATTCTATTGATTGACAGCTATCAGTCAGGACTGATATTTTTGCGAAGTTTGCGTACTATACTTATAATTTTGGAAATTCAAGAAGCCGTCTGATAAAGTTGGATAACCGCTTTCGCATAAATATAAAAATCTATATTCTATACTTTATAGATATTCTATATAATACTATAATAGCGTAGAAATTCCTTTGTCTCACGTGGAAATGGTTAAAGAGGACATAGGTCAGCGTACAAAGTGAAAATCTTCCCTCTAGGCAGATCTGGTGTAAGCAAGCGCAAGGGAGCTGTCCGTCATTCGAGATATTTTGTTTATTTAGTAATTTAAAAAAATTTTATAACGCATTTTTCAGTCCAACTCACAAGGGCTACTCATTGAAGTGATTCGTACCGAATTATACTCTTGGATAAAAATAGTTGCGAATTC